TCAGGTCCTCAGGCTGGAACAGCCATCTCCTGAGCCCAGCGGCTGAGTCTTTCCAGAACCCTTGGCTGTTTTTAGTTTACATCAGCGGACAGGAGGAGCCTAGGAAGGAGACTGCACTTCCTTTCTTAGCAAATATCGTCTTGAGCTACACAGTTAGAATCAGAGCAATTTTAAGGATGTCGGGTAAAATATCCAATGACATCTATCCTTTCAACACATGTTTGAAAGTGAAGCCAATGTGTGGGACTTGGGTCCGTGCTACATAAGTTCTGTCACAAGGGCCAGTCATTAATATTTCAGCCCCAGACACATGTGATAAATGACAAATTAGTCTTACCAACTGATGATGGATCTCAGAGTGAAGAAGAGGGCCAGTCTGTCACCTACAATTGCAAAGGCCAGCAGACACTAGAGTGGTGGTTCTTGACCCTTGGGAGGAGGGCAAATACTCTTTTACATGGGGCAACACAAATATTTACAGTACAGTTCATAACAGTAGCAAAATTGCAGCTCTGAAGTAACAACAAAAATAATTTATAGTTGGGGGTTGCCACAACGCGAGGAACTGTATTAATGGGTCGCAGCATTAGGAAGGTTGAGAACCATTGCCCTAGAAAGAGCTGAACATTGAAGGACATCGTAGAAATTCCTCCTAGAAAAAGAGACACGGAGGCCAAGCACAAGCACAGGCATTGCTAAGAGCTGGGTGTTCTTGGTGCAGACGGGTTAGGGGCTTCAGGGACACTGAAAAGATTGGCAGAGGGAAGAACCAGATTTGAGAAGACTTTCATGCTGGCTCTAGTTTGCTTGGGGCACATGGACCTTGCCTTTTGTAAGCAGCTGGCAGAGCTTTCATTTAAAGAAAGTATTATACTCTGTTTGGAGTATAATTGTCATATAATTAACTATCTATTTCTGCACATTGGTTACCTTACTGAAGAGAATCAAAGTCCCTTTAGCTTGGTGTGGTGGCACATGCCTGTAATCCTAGCATTTAGGAGGCTGAGGCAGGAGGATGGGAAGTTCCAGGATGGTCTAGGCAACATCACAAGAGCTTGTCAAAAAAGGAAAAGAAAAAGAAAAACTCCTCTCTCCACCTCACCTGTTATCAAAAACAATCACTGAGCTGTTTTCCATTTTTACAGGTTTGTTTGCATTTTTTAAAATGTTGCATAAATACAGTTCTGTAGTATTCACTCTTTTGTGTGGCTTCTTTCACTTAGCATACTTGAGACTCACTGATGGGGTGTGTGTCTTGATAGCCCAGTTCTTTGCATTGCCAAGCTTCATTTTATTGCTCAGCTGCACCCCTTTTTCTTACCCATTCAGCTCTTGCTGTGGGGAGCTATTAAGGTTTTTGCATCTATAAATGAAGAGACCAAACCAATTCTTCAAGAATAGTTATTTTGGGGTATGGTACAAGATGCGTTGAACATTTGGGAAGCCAGGGGCAGAGAACCAAGGGGGAGGTTCTCCACATTTCAAATCTAAGACTAGAAGACCCTGAGCTCTCAGATGAGGGTCAGTCTAGATAGCATATCCGTGGTGAAACACAGGGAACTGATCTTCTGGAGGAAATGGAGAAGCCTGCTTGGAGAGCTTGTCGGACGAAGTCAGTTTCTGGTTTTCTTTGTTATTTTGGGCATATCTGTGTACACATGCACGCAGCATGCTTGTGTGCACTATAGCACACACGAGGAGGCCGCAGGACACCTTGCACATGTCTTGTTTTCTTCTTCCACTTTGTAGGTCCTAGAGGTTGCTCTCGGCAGCAGCTACCTTTACCCACTAAGCCATCAAGCTAGCCCAGGATGTTAGGATTCTTAAAACGGTACTATGTGACATATCGTTATTATGTGAAAGTATTTCAGTCTGCTCATGATGGTAAACCTGAAATTGTGAAATCCATCGATTTAGGGTTAGGGAGAGGCAGAAAGATAGATCAGCAGGTGAAGGTACTTGTTGTCAAGCCTGATTGATCCCTGGGCTCCACATGGTGGAAGGAGAGAACTAAATCCCCTAAGTTGTCCCGTGGCTTCCACACATGTGCTGTGGCATGAGCACCCCCTCCTCACACAGTAAACATATGTATTTGTATTATATATGTATATGTAAATATATACGTATAGATCTGTATTCTTTTCTTTTAAGGTTAGGTAAGGGTTGGTTTGTACCAGGCTTTTTCCTTTGGGCCACCAACCAGCTCCCAAATCATGACACAGAGACTTATTAATAGTTTTGAGTGCTCAGCCTAGCTTAGCTTGTTTCTGGCTAGCTCTTTTAACCTAACCTGTTTCTCTTTATCTACCTTTTGCCTCAGGGCTTATTACCTTTCTTACTTCTATGTATCTGACTTTCCCTGCTCCTCATGTCTGTCTGTCTGTCCTCTTCCCCAGGCATGTCCCTCATTCTCTCCTCCTTCTCCCTCATTCCTCTTGTTCTTTTTCCTTCTCTTCTAGATTTCTCCTCCTATTTATTCTCTCAGCCCACCAGCCCCGCCTAGCCTTGCCTAGCTGCTGGCCGTTCAGCTCTTTATTAGACCAATCGGGTGCCTTAGGCAGGCAAGGGGATGCCCATGCAACACATGTTTACATAATTAGACAAATACAGCAGAAACAAATGTAACACATCTTCACACAGTTAATGTTCTGCAGCATAAACAAACGTAACACACCTTTGCCTAGTTAAAATCATGTGCTACAGCACTGGTCACCGCACAGGGCCAGGCCCTTCTTGGCTTAAGCAAAAGGGAATGATCTGGAGGCTTTCCAAACAGCAGCATTTCCAGGCCAGCTTAGCTTAGCTTCCAGGTCACATACCCACCTTGCTGGGAGAAAAGGGTCCTGGGTTCAAATTGCAATACTAGCCCCTAGGAAAATGGCCATTTCCCAAAAGGAATTTGGAATAGTCTTAGCAAGAACAGGATGCTGGGGCTGGGAAGATAACCCAGTCAATAAAATGCTTGCCTTGTAAGCATGGTTCCCCAGAACTTATTATCATCATCATTATTATTAAAAAGGCTGAGCATGGTGGGCACACTTGAAATCTCTGCTGAGGTGGAAACAGGCTGATGATCCCTAGAGCTCACTGGCCAGCCTCGCCTACTTGGTGAGAGAGATTGTCTCAAGAAAGAAGGTGGGAGTTTTTCACTCCTCCTACGGGATATTTTGAGGTAGGAACTTATGCAAGCAACTCCAACTAAACTCCGTGAGTCACACACAGAAAGAAGACACAGAGTAGGCGTCTCGAGTGCACTCCAGTGTGAAATTGTCAAAAAACAAAAAAATGAAAAAAAAGTATAAGGAAAAAATGGTAGACAGTAGCTGAGGAGCAACACTTAGGCTGATCTTGATCTTTGTACCTCCGCCTCCTGAGTGCTGGGATTACTAGGATGGGCCATCTCCCCTGGCCATTTGTTCTTTTTTAGTATTCTTGGTTTACTCTGGGTGTGACATAAGAGTTTTGCACACAGACACACCCACTGTGCCCCCGATTTGGAGAGAAGAATTAGCTTCCCCAGGATACTCCTGACGAGGAGGAGGAGGATGCATAGGAAAATCTGGATAGGGAGAATGTCATGCTAGGAAAGAACATTACTGATTCAGGTTGGACAAGCCTAAGGCAAATGTGTGTATTTGCTCATTATATTAGCCAGGGTTCCGTAGCAGAACTGAAACAATAGGATGGATGGATATTTTATACATACTTATAATTTATTATATCAATTTACATTAAAATAGTAGCAGCAGTTGTCCTTTGAGGCTGGGCGCTTTGTCAGTCCCACAGTGGCTGTCTCACACTGGAGAGGCCAACAGTAGTTGCTGTGCAGTTGACCGGACTGATATCCAAAACCTAGACATTTTCTGGAGAGCCCATTGGTCCTCCATCTATGATAGAAGCCTGGAAACATGGGTTCTAAAGCCAGCAAAGGAGCAGCAGCAGCAGCAGCAGCAGCAGCAGCAGCCGCTGCCGCCACCGCCGCCACCGCCGACACCTCTGCCGCCACAGCCGCCTCCCAGAAAGGGAAGATAAAGTACCAAAATTCACTTAGACTTTTGGCCACCCCCTTTGTATCTACTGCCCCCCTACTCTGGGCAGGTTTCTCTAGCAATTAAGGCAATCAGGACAATTCTTCAGGTGAGGCTCCCTACCCTGGAGATTCTAAAAGGTGGCAAATTAACATTAAGACAAGCATCACACTCCTGTTAACCACAAGAGGCAAAACTGGCCTAAATCAGTTATAATTAATTTGCTGTAGTTGCACATGTGTCAAGGTCAGAGGACAACTTATAATTAATTTGCTGTAATTGCACATGTGTGGTGGGCAGAGGACAACTTTCAGGAGTAGGTTCTCTCATTCCTCCATGGGTCCTAGGTTTCTGGGTGTCAGGATCTTGTGGCAAGTACTTTTAACCAGTGAGCCATCTCACTGGCCCACCGTGGGACTTGTGAAAAACAGACATCCAAGAAGATTCTGTATATTTAAAAAACAAAACATTGAGAGTCTAACTTAGACATGCTGTTGTCTTGGAGGAAGTTCAAGGACTCTGGCTTCCCCGATAGACTGATGATGAAGTCTTGGCCATGGTGGCACCTGGAATATGAATGTGTCTTCTCCTGTGTATTCTAGGGAGGGGTTAACAAAATGTACCATGGCATCCAAGACTACAAGCTGGACAACAATAGGGTGCACCTGGTGATGGAGAAGGGAGACACTGTTTTCTTTCATCCTTTGCTCATCCATGGATCTGGTCGGAACAAAACTCAAGGATTCCGCAAGGTATGGGTTCAAATTGCTACATCTCCAAAGATGAGTGGACTAGAACAAAGATCTCAAAATACATTAAGATAGCAAAGAATGCAGGACTTTTCACTGCGGGGCCAGTTTATTTATCAGGATATACACATATATTCCCTCTGTTAGGCCCTCACCCTGTGAGCACTGCACCATTCATGAAATTACTTCTGAACAAAAGTGGCCTTTTTAGCACACAGCTGCTGCTGAGACGGAAAACAATGGCTGAATTACTAAAATAGCATCATTTGGAATTCCTTTTGCTCATTCTAAGTACAACAGGAGAGAAGTTCATAATATCTTTACTATTGAGAAAAATAGTACTGATCCAAAACAATACTGAGTTCCGAAGGGCACACTCAGAAACTGGACTCAGCAGGCCCTTGTGTTTTCAATCCTTAGCTTCAGAATGTTTACAACTTGATACTTTGTTGCCTATGTTAAAAACTTCCCCACAGCCAGGCGGTGGTGGCACACATGCCTTTAATCCCAGCACTCGGGAAGCAGAGGCAGGCAGATCTCTGTGAGTTCGAAGCCAGCCTGGTCTACAGAGCGAGATCCAGGACAGGCTCCAAAGCTACACGAAGAAACCCTGTCTTGAAAAAAACAAAACACAAAAAGTTAAAGTTCCCCACAAATGCCACAACTTCTCATTTTGACAGGTCCAGCAGATCTGATAGTCCCGTGAGAGTGCACTTCCTCACGGAAACAGTGGTCCACACCAAACATCAGGGCTCCTTTGGGTCTAAGTCGGGTGTTCTGGCTCCTCACAGGGTTCCCACCCATCCTCCCTGGCTCTTTGAGCCCAAAGACAAGGCACCAACCGTATCTTCCACTCACTGATGTTCCCACTGGGTTCCCTGGAGCTTGAGATGAGGCTGAGGCGGTGGAGATGCTGCCTCAGGACACAATTTAAGGGGCTGCCAAAAGCTCAGCAAGAACTTTTAAAGAGCCATGCTTCTTCTTATGCCAAATTTTAAAATAAGAGGCTGGTATTGTCTCTCATAGTTGTGCGAGTGTGGGGTATAAGCACTGAAATATAAATAAGTTCTGATGCCGGGCGGTGGCAGCGCACGCCTTTAATCTCAGCACTCAGGAGGCAGAGCCAGGCAGATCTCTGTGAGTTCGAGGCCAGCCTGGGCTACAGAGTGAGATCCAGGATAGGCACAGAGAAACCCTGACTTGAAAAACTAAAAAATAAATGAAAAAAGAAAAAAGAAAAAAAAAAGAAAAAAATTGATATACTGAATTTGCCCTTTTCTATACTTTTCTAGTGTCTTGCATAGTCTAGAAAAATAGTCACCATTGTTTTGTAATAAAATGCATATGGGAGAGCACGTTCCCTTTGTCTTGGTCTCTGATGCAGCTCGATCTAGCATGCAGGTTTACACAGGTGACAGAATTTGAGACGCCACTGTAGAAATCAGTATTTCGAGCAAAGTAGCAAGTCCTTCCGATGGATGTGGTCACCTTTAGATAATGAACTAGTGACAAAAAAGAGGAATTTTAATGACTGCTTTGCAAGCTTGGAGTTGTTGCAAATTTTTCTAGAATGGAGAGAATTGAGTAGTTTCAGCCTTCCTTCAGAAGGAGGCAAGGTGGGTTCATGGAACTGACCTTTAATGCCCCTTTTGATTGAGAGGGTATGTGCATTCTTCTTTCCAGTTTCCATATCTATCTCCATTGAAATAATGACCTATCTCAAATTCAACTGGGTAACAAAGTTGAGATGATGCCAAAGTCCAGTGTGGCACACACTTGCCATTGCAACACTCAGGAGACTGATGCAGGAGGATCACATGTTCTGAGAACCAGGGGACAGTTATGTAACACAGCCTTAGCTACATAGTGAACCTACCCCAAAAGGAAAAAAAGATGAGAGATAATAGTGGAACACCATCCATTTAAGGACTTTAGGATATGGGAATTTTTTTTTTTTTTTGGTTTTTCAAGACACGGTTTCTCTGCATAGCTTTGCGCCTTTCCTGGATCTCACTCTGTAGACTAGGCTGGCCTCAAACTCACAGAGATCCGCCTGGCTTTGCCTCCCGAGTGCTGGGATTAAAGGCATGCGCCACCACCGCCTGGCTGGATATGGGAAATTTTAAATGCCTAAAAATATTGAAGATCTCTTAAGGAACTGGACTTCCTAAATATACCTTAAAAACAAGTATCACAGCTAATTAAAAAAATCTTTCGTGGGCTTGTGGGATGGTTCAGCACATACAGGTGCTTGCTCCCAAGCCTCCTGAGCAGAGTTCAGTCCCCGGGAGTCGCAGGGTAGGAGGAGAGATCCAGCCATCAAAACCTGTCCTCTGACCTCCACACGCGCACATACACTCTTTAAAATCTTTTGTAATTTCTCAGTTAGCCTTCGGCTGTGGAAGGAGGGGCTAAGCTATGCATGAAGAGACTGGGTTAGGATACTAGAGGCCATCCTTCCAACTGAGAAATCAAATCTCAAGTGAAATGTTCCCATTCTAGGACTCTGCTTGATTTGGGACATAATGGGATTAATAGGGTGCTCGTCTCTAATCTCAGTCTATCCTTCCTGCACAGGCAATTTCCTGCCACTATGCCAGTTCCGACTGCCACTATATCAACGTGAAGGGCACCAGTCAAGAAAACATCGAGAGGGAAGTTCAAGAGTTAGCGGAGAAACGGCATGGATTAGAAAGCAACATTGAGTTAAAGGTATGTTTATGAAACCCCAAAGGAAACACCGGGGTTCTCTTTCTTCAGATTTAATTTGGAAGCATGCAGGCTTCTGTTTGCTCCCTTCAGAGCTGTTCCTGGGCCCACCAAGAATGATGGTGTAGGGCTTTCGCTACGGATAGTGGATATTGATACTGATCAGTCAATCCCAGTGAGTGGGCACATTCACTTTGGAAAGCTGGTTTTATTCTCTTTGTCATCACAAATACAGGCCTGGGGCCCAAGGATACTGAGTTAGTGATAGTTAATGCGCCGTAGGTCACACGCCGTGATAGTTAACGTGCTGCGCCGTAGGTCACGCGCCACAAGTCACCCAGATGCCATGCTCCCCAGCTGTCTCCAGTCATCTGGAGTATCTTGATCCCACTTTGGAACCTACAAAGGTGAGAATGTGGAATCTATATAATTACCAAATCTCAATAAGGAAATCACTTTGAGCCGGGCAGTGATGGCACACACTTTTTATCCCAGCACTCGGGAGGCAGAGGCAGGTGGATTTCTATGAGTTCGAAGCCAGCCTGGTCTCCAGAATGAGTTCTAGGACAGCCAGGGCAAGAAAAGAAAAAAAAGAAAAAGAAGAAAAGAAATCACTTTGGAAATTAAAAAACGAAAGTAGCCGCAAATGTGTCCCATATTTGAAAATGTTCTGATTTCACATTTGCAGCCCCTAAAAATTCTTATGGTTCGTCTCCCTCTGTCTAGGACTTGAAATGCCTTCCGTGAATAACTAAGACTTGGGTCTAACAAGGATGTCGACACCTCTCCCCGTGTGAGGTCCCACATTTGTAGATTTGGCCAATTGAAATACTGGAAAATATTAAAAGCATTTGGGGTCTGGAGAAATGGCTCAGCAGTTAAGGATGAGAACTGCTTTGTAGAGGACCTAAGTTCAGCCCGTTACAGGCTTCTAATGGCCTCTACCTCCAGTTTCAGGGGATCCAGCACCTCTGACCTTTTTAGGCCCTGCACTCACACGCACACACTCACACACAGACACACCTACATCCTTAAAAATAAGTTAAACCTTTCAAAAAGTATTTGAAAAAGACTGCATATGCCCTGAACATATACAGACATTTTTATCGCTCCTTCCTTAAACAATAAAACGTCTATTGATAGGACATTTACATTCTGTCGGGGAGTATGGGTAAGCCAGAGAAGGTATATGGTACATGGTAGGGTGCATATGGGCTCTATTCAAATACTGTGCCATTTCATACGAGGGTCTTGCCATCCCATGGCTTACAGTATCCAAGGTGAGTCCTGGACTGTACACCAGGCTTGAGGTTAGTAAGGTTATGCTAAATGAGGCCTCACATGTTGATTTTTATTACTTGGTAAGTTATAGCTTATCAGGTTTATTTAGAAGAATAATGCCAACTCCTACTATGTAATCATTTCTAAGAGACAAAAGACATTCGTGTCACTGAACTTCAGTAGAACAGTCAGAGTGGATTCATGCCATTTTGTAAAAATGCCAGAGGCTGATGTAAGTGGCAGAACTAGGTTTGAGAGCTGGATTTATTCATTCTTTCTGCCGTACCTTATGGCTCGCTCAAAAGTTAAACAATAAACCAGAAAATAGAAATTGTATTGTTAGAAATGAAAAGGAACTGGGCGTGGCGGCTAACTCTTAGAATTGCAGTGCTCAGGAGGCTAAGGCAGGAAGACTGTCGCAAGTTCAGAGCCAGCCTGGGCTACATGGTGGGTTCGAGGCTGACTTGGGCTACCGGGTGAGGCCCTGTCTCAAAAATAAAAACTGCTCGAGCCAGATGACTCAGAAAGTAAAGGTGTGTGCCACCAAGCCTGAGTTCAAGTCCTTCAGCTCACATGGTAGAAGGAGAGAACTGACCCCACAAGTTATTTTCCGACCTCCATCTGTTCTCTAACTCATGTATGCCACTCGGACACACTTATAAATAAATACATACATAAATAAAATGCAATAAAAAACAACAACAACAATAAAAACAAAGGTGGGGGAGAACAAATTTTAAAAACAAACTAGTCAACTATGGCATCTTTTTCACAGTCATCATCCAATCACGAGTAGAATTTTCAACAGACTCCAGGCAGATAGCATCAAGGAGCAGCAGAAAGACAGCTGGTAAACAGTCTTTACTGTGGCCAAGTTGTGTATGGACCTAATAGCATCATCTGCCATTAGCACCTGTGTCCAATCGGTCAGGGCCGGCAGCTGGGGATCCACTGACCTAGCATAGTCAGCACGATTCTAGATACTGGTCGGTAGAGTGACTGGAGTCCCAGAACAGTTTTTATTTACTAATCCGTAGAACTATTAATATGTTTTCCTGTTTAGTCGTTTGTAGAGGCTTGAACCCTTTTTCTCATGGAGGGTAGGCCAATGGAAGTGTCCCATGAACTCTGTTTGATATTATTTCAGGATATTTGGATGTTTCGAGGCCGATCTGTGAAAGGGGAAAGAACAAACCTTTGAAGTAGCCCCTCAAGAGTGCGATACGATGATGAGTGCCTATAATCTCAACACTCAAGAGAGTAAGACGAGAGCATCGTGAGTTCGAGTACCGCCTGGGCTACATAGCAAGATACTGTCTCCAACCCTTCCCCCCCATAGACAAAACAAAAATAATTAATTAGCTCTTCATTACAATTCTTTTAAAGGAAACATCAAAGCAAGGCATCTCAGGAAAATGTTTTCTTATTGAGATGATGTCATCCTTTCTATCTCCTGTGTATGAGTCAAGACATGTACTGGGGCCTTAACTGCCCAGATTGAATTATTTGATACTGTTGTTTTCATTGAGTGAAATATTACTGTTTTAAGAAAAACTAACTTGGGATATAACTAATAAAGGTGACTGAGTATAATTGAAGCATTTCCAGTCAATTTCTTTCTCTCCACAGGCGCTTTACCTAGCAGAAATGATTTCTTGAAAGTTCAGTCTACATACATCAGGGTGTACATCCCTCCTACCATGGACCCACCTCCTACCGTCTCATGTCGTGACAGGCTTTTGTTCTAGTCTAGAACATAGAGTGAATATTCACAGTAAATGACGGGCAGAGCGAGAGCAGCGTGGAGTCCAATAAAGGTGGAACCCCGTTTTCTGAAGCATGCTTCCTTGCAAGCCTTCACCCCAACCCTTTCCATAAAACACAGACCAGTCATCTCCACTTGTCTCTTTCAATGCTGAGTAGGGAAGACCAGAGTGCCTGGCAGGTGTTTCCTGTTGGGCGGGGCGGCTGACAACTTTCTACCATAAAGCCTCCCCATTTCAAACACAGGGCTTTTGGATCCTCTTGTTTCCGTTAGCATTGAGTGTGGACTCGGGGTGACTACTGCAACCTATCTCTACACCAGCTGGAGGCAGCAGCGAGCTGTGTGCCTTAGTTTTCAAAATTCTAGTTGGGGCTTTGGTGAGGAAAAAATAGCAAGTTCCTTTTCCTGAATTTGGAGTTTTGGTGTTTATCAATTTCTTTATCAAGACAGCCCTCCCCTCTTTTAAGCCCAGCTTCAGTGAACCCAGAGCTCTGGGTATGCATGGCAAGTGCCCTACCACTGAGCTGCATCCTGAGCCCTTCATTTTTATTTATTTTAGACAGGCCTTGCTAAGTTTTCCAGATGGCTTGGAACTATGCAGCCCAGGCTGGCCTGGAACGTAAAATCCTCACGCTTGCAGTACAGCTTTACCCAGCAAGCCACCCCCCAGCCTCAGATTTGCTGTTTCTTATTTACCTGTATGCCTTACTTTCTGGCACCGTGAACGCCTGCTAATGCTCCGGACTCTTCCGTGCAATCGGCCACTTCTTCAAGGAGCCTTGGCCAATGGAATTGGAAACAAGAACCTAGGTGCAGGATCTGAGTGCTGGGTGCTTGATCTGGGTGTGGGTATACGTGGGGGGCCTGCTCCCACCTTTTTTTTTCTTTTATTTTACAATACCATTCAGTTCTACATATCAGCCACCTGCTCCCACCTTCTTAAAGGAGCACCATCCACCACCTTCTTAAAGGGTTCCTACGAGGAGGAGAGAGGGATAAGAAATGATAGATGGAAAGAGACCTAGCCGATGAGAGGAAAGAGAGAAACACAGGATAGCTTCGGAAGGACCTGAGTTAATACCCAACGGCCCAGAACTTTATTCAAAGGGGCTTTATACAACAATGCCAAGGGGCAGAGCAAAAGACCTCCCCCTTGCTAGGTACAGCCACATGCAGACCCTTCCAAACACCTGGTACCCAGGCCCATGGTCCAACCATCCTCTTATGCAGCCCCACTGGTAAAGCAAGCTCAGATCTCACTAGGAAACCTCTGTGGGCTCTCACACTCCTAGTGCTCTGTGGTCCCACTCCGTGGTGACAGTTGTGTATCTCAGTGCTTTGAATTCCCTGCAGCAGTGCTGTTGGAGGGTGGCAGACACATGGTCTAAAGGTTTCTATCTGTTCTTAGAGACTCCAGAGTACCGTTTGGTCCCTAGAATTGTCAGTCTTTTGTTGATTCTCCTAGAGGGTGGTCGTCTTCCTGGAACGTGCTGTGTGGTGTGGAGATGAGGGAACAGAACCTTTGTATTTATTTGATTTCAACTGAACCACACAAATGTTTGGAAACTAGAATGCATTGTAAACTGAAGCAATGAACAGGAGGAACGGGACAGTGACCAGCACTCAGAAGTATAAACAAAACTCAGTGCAGTCCAGTGAGTCCTTAGGTCAAATATCTGCAGCTCTAAGAGCCACAGAGTCAGGTATTCTCAGCTTTGCTGCCCAGGTATCTCTGTTTCCGTGACTCAGCTCTGCCACTGGAACAGGCAGGTGGCCCGAGACAACATAACTAAAGGAGTATGGTCAGGAACCAAGGACACTATATGCAAAAACAGCCAGCCTGTCAGATTTGCCCACAGGCTATAGTTTGCCCATTCAGTTCTAATGAAAGCACAAATTCAGTAAGCAAATGAGTACTCTGTATCCTGGCAAGATGCACCTCATAACCAATGCTGCTTCTGGGGCTGCCACCTCTTTAGGGGCTGTGGGAAGACTGGGCTGGTGCCATCTTCCCTGTCCCTGAAAACAGTCTGCCTACCCATGTGTTGCACACTGTGGCTCTCCCTCCAAGCCCCAATGTGGCCAATTTTTAATCCAGTTTAAATTGGGATAGCATTTAAAATTCATATCCTAGAGAGGGAGCAATCAGAGGGGAGACAGAGGATAATGAAGATAGGTGAGTAAGATCAAAGTACATTATATACATGTCTGAAAATGTGTAATCAAACCTACTGTTTATTTTTATTTTTTTGATTTTTTTGAGACAGGGTTTCTCTGAGTAACAGAACCCTGACTGTTCTGGAACTTGATCTGTAGACCAGGCTGGCCTCGAACTCAAGACTCCCAACAATATGTCATTGAGCCTGGAAGTCTGAGCTCGTAGTGTTGACTGGTTCCTTGTAAGGTTTCTGTTGTGGTTTCAATGTAATGTGACCCCTGTAGGTGCACCTTGAACACTTGGTCCCCAGCTAATGGTACTGTTTAGGGCAGGCGGGGTGGGGGGACCTTTAAGAGGAAGAGCCTCTGTCTTAGTCAGTGTTCTACTGCTCTGAAGAGGCACCATGACCACAGCAACTCTTATACAGGAAAACATTTAATTGGGACTGGCTTACAGGTTCAGGAGTTTAGTCCATTATCACCATCATGACAGGGGAAGCATGACTGCATGCAGGCAGACATGGTGCTGGAGAAGGAGCCGAGAGTTCTACATCAGGATCCACAGGCAACGGAAGAGAAAGGAAGATGCTGGGTCTGGTTTGCACATTTGAAACTTCAAAGCCCCCCCCCCCCCACACACACACACCCCCTCCAACAAGATCACATCTATTCCAACAAAGCTACATCTCCTAATAGTGCCACTCCCTGGTGACCAATGTCTGTGTCAACCTTTCCTTATGAGGGCACAGTCATTTCAGGTTGACTATTTATTTAACTCAACAAGTTCTTCATTGTTGTTATTATTTGTGGTGTGATATTTTGTTTGTGTTCTGACAAATAAAGCTTGCCTGGAGATGAGAGGGCAGAGCTAGCCACTAGTTAACCATAGAAGCCAGGCGGTGGTGGCACACACCTTTAATCCTAGCATTTGGAGGCTCATGCCTTTAATCCCAGCACTTGGGAAGTTCATGCCTTTAATCCCAGCACTTGAGAGGTGGATACAGGATCTTGGCTCCTTTCTGTCTGAGGATCCGGAGAGGTAAGAAGTCATTAGTGGCTACTCCTTTGTTTCTCTGATCTTTCAGGTTATTAGCCTGATATTTGATCCTGGTGTTTATTGATAAGACTAATTAGGATCATGCTTCTATTATTATTACTACTACTATCATTATTATTGTTATTATTACTATTGAGACAGGGTATTATTACTATTGAGACCCTGGCTGGCTCAGACTTGCTATTTAGATCAAGCTGGCCTTGAACTTGCAGAGATTCCCTCTGCCTCTATCTCCCAGTTGGGAGGTGTGTGCCATAATGCATAGATTACAAACTCTTTTTTTGTTTTATTCAAGATAAGGTTTTTCTGTGTAGTTTTGGAGCCTGTCCTGGAACTTGCTCTGTAGACCAGGCTGGCCTTAAACTCACAGAGATCTGCCTGCCTCTGCCTCCCGAGTGCTGGGATTAAAGGTGTGCGCCTCCACTCTCCAGCTAGACTACAAACTCTTTAAAAGTCTATGTCTGATGCAGTAAGGTCCTAGGGGCATGGGAGTAAGTGATTTTCAAGGACGTAATTCAGGACATGGCATACCCTCTTGGAGCTTTGAAGCAGCCACGGGAGCCTCTGAGCTTCCTGGAATTGTTAGTCTCTGGGCTGACATGTTTATCAGCTCACTAGGAATATATATTGCCAACTAGGAAAAGGAGAATCAAGACTCCCAACAATACGTCATTTAAAAATGTCTGTGTTTGTTCCATTTTTCATCACTGTATCTGAAATGTCAGCAGAAACAGCTTAAAGGGAGAAATTATCTACTTTGGTTTTTCCGTTTCAGAGTATGCCCAGTATACTCTGATTGTTAGATAACACATCTCTCTAAAAACACAGATCCAGGCCTCAGGAAATGGCTCAGTTGGTTATGAGCTTGCTATGCAATCATCATTCAATTCCCTAGAACTCACACTTAAAAAGAAAAGCATAGCCAGGCAGTGGTGGCACACGCCTGTAATCCCAACACTCAGGAGGCAGAGGCAGGTGGATCTTTGTGAGACTGAGGCCAGCCTGGTCTACAAAGGTAAGTTCCAGGACAGCCAGAGCTATTACACCGAGAAACCCTGTCTCAAAGGGGGGCGGGGGGGGTGGTCAGCAATTCACAACCCAGACACTGCACCACGTGGAGAGTTTAATATAATAGAGAGGGGAAGGAAAGAGAGAGACAGAGAGAGGGAGGGAGGGAGAGAAGCACAGTGGCCCATGCCTCTAATCCCAATGTCAAGGAAGTAGAGAGTCACTGATCCCAGGGGCTTGCTGCCCAGCCAGCCTAGCTGAATCAGTGAGCTCCAGGTTCAGTGAGGAACCCTGCCTCAAAAACATAAGGTGGAGAGTGACTGAAGAAACACCTGATATTCTTCTGGATAGATGGTTAAAAGAACTAAAATCAGAGGCACAAAATATATTTACATACATATTGCAGCATGATTTACTATGTAGAGGAAAACAATTCTTCCTTGGTGGGTGAGTGGATAAGCAAAAAATGTCACCTATACATGTGATAGAATATTATTCAACTTAAAATGGAAGGAAATTCTGATCCATGGATGAAGCTACAGGCTGCTGTGTTACATGAAATAAGCCAGGCCCAAGGATTACATATGGTATGAGTCCATTTATATGAGGTCTCTGCAGCAAATTCATACTGCAAAAAGATAGTTGAGTATGGTTTCCAGAGTTATAGGAGCAGAAATGGGAGCTGACAGTTAGCAGGTGCAGAGCTTCTGTTGTGGAACTATGGAAAGTGTTCTGAAGGCGAGTGTGGGGATGGTCACAGAATAATGTGAATATAATCAGTACCACGGAGCTTTCCACTTACCTATGGGTAAAATGGCCAATTTAATGTTCTACATATTTTATCACATATTTGCATTTTTATATTTTTATCATAAAAATTTAAATTACATGTTATTTGCTTATTTATTTGTGTGTGTGTGTGTGTGTGTGTGTGTGTGTGTGTGTGTGATGGTATATATGTGGAGGTTAGAGATTGACTTGCAGGAATCTGTTCTACCCATCATGTGGGTTCTAGGGATTGAACTCAGGTCCTCAGGCTTGGCAGCAGGAACCTTGACCATCTTTTTTTTTTTTTTTTGGTTTTTTTCGAGACAGGGTTTCTCTGCATAGCTTTGCGCCTTTCCTGGAACTCACTTGGTAGCCCAGGCTGGCCTCGAACTCACAGAGATTCGCCTGGCTCTGCCTCCCGAGTGCTGGGATTAAAGGCGTGCGCCACCACCGCCCGGCAAAATTAAAAAAAAAAAAATTAACTAAAAGGGCCTGGAGGGAAGAAAAATTGTAGGAGCCAGAGGGGTCAAGGACACCACAAGAAAACTCACAGAAACTAACCTGGGCTCAAAGGAGCTCACAGAGACTGAAGTGACAAATAGGGAACCTACATGGGACTGACCTAGGTCCTCTGTCACAGTTGTGGAGCTTGGGATTAAAGGTGTGTGCCACTACTGCCCAGCACCAGGAAGTGGAATGGAGCCAAATCCTGTGTTGAGGAGATGAAAGGATTAAGAAATGGAATAAAGGGAGTGGTAACCTCGGGGCAGGACCCCACCCAAATAAGTTTCCAACTTGTGAAAAGGAATTAAAGAAAAGCTTAGAGCTGGTTGTGGTGGTTCACACCTTTAATCCCAGCACTCTTGGAGGGAGAGGCTAGCAGATATCTGAGTTTGAGGCCAGCCTGGTCTACAGAGCAAGTTCCAGAACAGCCAAGCTTAGGCAATGAAGGTAACCATCAAAACAGAAGGCTGGTGAAGATGTTGGTTAAACAGTACGCTGCTTGTGGCGGCGGAGGAGAGTGCTGATCGGAAGAATCACAGCCATGGTTACCTTTTTAGAGCTTTATTGGGAGAGGGGGGAAGAGAGAGAGGGAGGG